AATAAAAACGATCCTATACTTTCATATAATCCCTTAGACTCAATGCTAGTTCAAGCTGTTTATAAGGAGTTGAAAGATATAGTCGATAATTTGGTGCAATCAGTCAGCGGAAATAATGAAGAAACGAACTATTTGAAATCAAAATTAGTATACTATTTGGAAAGATATGATAAAATTTTGAATCCCGATGTTTGCAAAGCCGTAATTAAATATGATAATGGTGGCGAAGATGAAAGTGTCACTGGTTCAAATGGTATGCATTTAAAACTCGGTATTTTTTTAAGAACTTCCAGTAATCGCTAAAGTATGGATTTTTAAGGCCGTTTTATCCGAAACGAGCATAATCAAATAAATGATCTCGGTAGTCTTGGTACAAAATTGCTTTTGCGATTGACTGAATATACTGTAAAAGACCGCCTTGCTGGGTACATTGTAGAGGGGATATACTGTATTATATGACAGGCATAAATCAGATTTGGTTTCTGAAATTGGAGCAGTGTACATTCCACAGAAGGGTAGACAAGGCGGGTTTTTATATATAAATCTAATACATATGTGCTAACTTTTTCTTTCAGTAGAAAGTATGGCGCAACTTGATCATTCCCGTCGTCGTCGTCGTCGTCGTGGTGGTCGAAAATAAACCGGAATTTTATAAGAATTCTTTGTTGGTAAATATATGCTACCTTTTTGAAATAAACCTCAAGTAGAGCATAACGATAAAGCGATGTGACTTTGCATTATTTTGTGTATTTTCTGAATTAGATTACGGGGAATAGACTGGATTCAAAGTGTGCATCGAGAAAGGGTATTGATCTAGGGTATATTTATAGAGGAAGATTGACTGTAACGTAATTCGTTCTACGTAAACATTGTCTCCACAATGCCATTTTTCATACTTCTATGTTTTTGGTATGCTGTATATCTCCGTATTTTTGTTTTCTATACTGATAAGAATATCATATATCTCCGTATTTTTGTTTTCTATATTGATAAGAATATCATATTTTCATTATTATTGAGTTATTTTTAACGAGATCATCATCTAAACAGGATTCTTTAGAATGCAATAAAATTTATTAATACAGTCAGACCCCCTAAATGCAATACCTCCTTAAATACATTATAGTTATTTAGTCCCATGTTGGGCCTTATAGATAAATGCACGTTCTTTATTCTCTAAATGCACGCCAACTTCTTGGCCCATACATAATAATAAACTCCCTCCGTAAGCGCAATCATGTGATTTCGATATATAATAGCCAATCAGATTTTGTTAAAATATTTAAAATATAAAATTATTGGATTTTTTACGAAGTAACATTACCGTACAAAATCGGAATAACGCTTGTGGGCGTTATTTTGAAAATAACATAGGTAGTTTCGAATTAACGCCCAGGCAGGGTTGGAGCCAATGGACCTCGATGGTTACACGAATCGACTAGTATCTATTGGCTCCATTCAGTGATCCATTGATCCATTCGCAGGTCCATTTGGTCCATTCACAAGTCCATTGGATTCCATTGAGCTCCATTGCCAACCCTGGATGTTAAGTGGTCCACGGGGAACGGGTTTGGACTGGACTTTTTAGGGACAAATCAGAACTATTCCAAAAACCAGTTCTGATGTCACATGATATGGATAGAGTGTTATTTTTGACACATCGAATAGATTTAATATGGTATGAATCATGAACAACGCCTTTTAAAATAGTCGTAATGAAATTCGGCGTTTTCGCTTTAAAATTCATTAGAATTATTAAGTGCATCAATTTGGTAGGTTTAAACCAAATCAGTAAATGCTTTAGTTTTTTTACTCCATATAGAATTTCAAAATTATATTAAACCACTAGGTTAGAATCGATTTTTACCTAATTTTTAACAGGGTGAACTAGTTTTTAACTAGCTTTTTAGAAACTGGACCAGGACCGGCCCAGACGCACCACTTAGCATCCCTAACTGGGATGCCTATCATCGGCCAAATTAAAAACATAGTTCAGATTATATAGTGATGATCATCTAATTAAGATTTTTTATAGTAAATAAAAAAAAATTTGCCTTTAATTTCTCCTGTAATATTTAATATTTTTAAAAAAGTAAAATGGTTTAAAAAAGGCACCTCTTTATCGTGTCAGAATTTTATTTTACTAATTAAAATATGTTATTTGTTAAAATCCGGCCAACGATTTACTATTTGGCTGCATTATGTTAAACTTAATGCAGGTTGCATAGTAATTCGCTGGCCGGATAATTAGTAAAATAAATTCTGGCCTTGTCACGATATATAGATACCTTTGTTAAACAACTTTGCTTTTATATAGTTAAAAAATATTAAATATTACGAGAGGAATTAAATGCTTAATAAATTCGATTTTTTTTGTTTTTTTTTTTAGTAGTATTTAACAACACCAGGGCGTAGGATCGATTTTCCGGTCACGTGGTTTTCCGAGCTAAAATTAGCCAATGAGAAGTCAAGATCAGGTGTAACGTAAAAAAAATCAAAACAAACGATCTTTTTGAAGAAATCGTGAATATCTCAGAATTTAACCTAATTAACCACCTTCTGTGCTCTAAGTAAAAATTTTCCTTGCGTG